AGTATGTAGATTCAACCCAAATTTGAAGACACTGCACATTTCTATTACCTCAAGTAGAATAATAGACATATAGATGATGGACTTGTATAGTTTGTTGTTTTATAGCAGGATCTTATATCATAATTCAGGTTGACTTGAAATCACTCAACCTTTTGCCTTAACCTCCTTACTGCTAGAATCAAAGGGTCATCACAAAACTCTTAAATATATCTTAAAAGATAGTTGTAAGAGATAACTATCTTAAAAGATATTCAATATAGTTTTGTCCAGTGCATTAACTTCCAAAAAGGTAATATTAATATTATTTCAACATTGAAAAGGAATAAAATATGTTATTCAGTAAAAAGTCATACTCTTTGGAAATGCTTATTTCTTTAAAAAGTTAGAAAAAATCAAACATTTTCCAACTTTGATTCTTAATTTCATTTGACTTTATTTTCCTTTTGGAGGAAAGAAATATCCAAAATTATTTAGTTATAAGTTTAAATCAAGATACCCATTCAGATGTCTAAAAGGGAAAATGGTTGGGATAGAGTCTCTATGTATAAATTATGCTTTCAATCTCTTTTCTTGGGGAAACATCTGCTTACTTGTTTGTTTGATTCAGTTATATTATTTCTTTATAAAGTCAGACCTCTCATCACTGTAGTGAAGAGGACTACTGTTAACACACACAATCTACTTTGTAGAAAACATGATATTTAGTTAATGTTTGTCTATCAAGAGTAGCAGAAGTCTCCCTTTCTCATAGATATTGCAGAGGGATAACAAAGTCATGTCTTACCCAGTAATGCTTTCTTGTCTCTAAATGTAAGCATTCATGCTAATTCCCTTGATGACATTGCAATAGCTATTTGTGTCAGCAGTGTACATAAGTGATCTATGCTCAGCAAAAGAAAGTCCTATTTTCCTGCCAAATCAATGCCAGGAACTGTGTTTTACATCTCCCCCAAACTGGTGTTTGGGGAGAAGATTTATAGGGGATATCAATCAGTAGTAGCCGCTACCAGATCAGATTGATTCTGATAGTTAAAATTACCTTATGGATTGCAGTCCTGTGAACATTGTGCTGTTTTCAAAATTGTTTGTATTTTAGATATTTCCTCACCCCTATTTCCAGGATAAGATGCTACAGTAACATATTGATTATTTTACAATCCAAAGCTATTTTACCAGAGCATTTCCCATACATTTGTTAATTGATGCTTTGGATGCCAGCCATAAAAATGACCCACAGGTTGATAAAACTAAAAAACGCAAACAAGCAAATACTAAACAAAACAGCAAAACCACATAAAGTAGTTCTGTATCTTCTCATGTATGAACTTGAATCATATATAACATTTCTCTGGAAACATTAAGGAAAAAATTTATTCTGCTTTGTCTCCTCATTTTTAGTAAAAGAAAAATTAAGTGAATATTGACATACTAGGAAAAAATAATAGCTTTTAATTGTTAAGCATCAATCTCATCCCTTGCTTCCTATCTTGTTCCTATCTTGTTCAATGAAGTAAAACAGGAAAGTCACATAACTCTGCAGAGCCTCAGTTTTCCTCCTTTCAGAATGCAACAAAACAAGGAAGGTGCTTTGAAACAGCCATGAATTACACTAAATAAAAGGTGGCATTGTTAATATTGCTCTGAAAACACTATGCACTACACATTTTGCTATCCTTATAAAACTTAAATAAGCTCTACATTAATTTTCCCCTATTATGAAAGAAGTACTAATATAATGTCTTGAATTCTCTTGTTTCTTTCCAAATAAGTTATACGTTTGTGAAAGTTTGCATTTTGGAGGGATTCATTACTATGCTTAGACTTGAAACTATTATTCTCTAAGAACCAAGCCTGTCTTCTCAAAAAAAATCTTATGAAATAAAGCAATGGAAAGAACTATATTCTGAGCTTTTGCTAGAATGGAATTCAGTTTTCTGAAACCATAAAACATTTTTCTTCTGATGTTTCTATTCCACGCAGATTGGTAAATGCCTGAGGGAGATAGTATTCTGCTATATTGCTTGACTTGCTCTTGTCCCTCCAAAAAAAGACTCATGAAATGTCAACAGTAGAAGCTTTCTTTTGCTATGTAAGCAGGCATTAGGTTCCAATACATTCAAAGTCTTTGTTGGTGTGCTGGATCTCTCATACTGTCTAATTGAGGACATGAAGCAGTTGGTATTCAAGAAGATGAAGAAGTATATTATCTGTAGGGATAAAACTAAACTCCAAATAGACTCTGAAGTGTTCATCCTCTAGATTGGTTGAAGCCCAAATAGTCTAACATTAGGCATAGCCAGAATGTGGTAATCACCTATTGTTTCATAGGATTTTAGAGCTCCAACATAAGATGAAATTCATAACTGGTACTTTGAACCTGGGCTGAGAATGTCATTCGTAAACTTACTACAGTACTTTCATTAAATTATCATGGTACTTATCTACCTTCTAAATATATATATATATATATATATATATATATATATATATATATATATGCATGCCATGGGCAGAAAATACTCATAAGCTTATTCAGAGAAGCCTGTCATTGAAATGACCAGAGGAGTCATGCTTGGCTTCTTGGAGTGCAATGCCTTTACAGTACCTATGGCTTTCTTAAATAGGCCTACCCAATATTATGTACACCCACAGTTACTAATGGGCTGGAGATGTGCCCAGGAATGCCATACTTTCCTGTTGAAGTATTGGCTAGGGATGTGCTTACCAGGCTTCAATGGATAGTTCTAAATCTGTGGTCATACAGATGATCTCACTTAAAGTCAGTGGGTTTCAAAAACAGGCTTACATGAATGTTTGAATAATAACTATCAAAAGCTAAATTCAGTTAAATTTATTTTTTTTTACAATAACAGAAAAGTACAGGGATTGTGGCACTACTTTGGTTTGCTCAGAACCCACCAATATGAACTATTAGCAGAACTCTAAGAACAGTGCTTGACCACTGAACAGTGCTACTTCTAAATAAGCTTTCCTCCTACTAAGATTCTGAATTTGGGAAGAAAAATCTCATTTAATCTACACAGGAAGTTCTACTAAATACCAGCTATGGCACTGGAAGATATAAACACTAAGGAGAAATTTAGATCTCAGGAAGAAAAACATAAAATTTGAAGTGAGAGCCACTAATATGCAGAAAGACTATGAGAATGCAGTTTTAAATACTCACCTGCTTGCTTACAATGCAACTCTGAAAGTTATGATCATTAAATTTATTGTGTTTGCTGTTTTTAAGTTGTTTTTATATGTAAACAAATGTTTGCTTGCATATATATATACACCATGTATATGCAGAAGTCAGAAAAGAACATTTGACAATTATGAACAGTTGGGAGCTACTATGAGGATACTGAGAACTGAATTGTTCCCTTGCATATGTAGTAAGCACTGTTAACTGCTGAATCATCTCTCTAACCTTTATTCATGCTTATGTTACATTTGGTTTATTTCCTTTTTAGCACTAAGGATAGAAAGTTAGGCAATTGTTTTGAGAACTTTCTCATGAGATATTTTTCATTTCATTTTGTGTTATAAATCTAAAATTTCTAGGAATTTTTAGTGCTAAATAGTCTCTTAATGAGACATTATTAAGATAACTGTCCTTTCTTTTCCACCTATCCATATGCCTGAAAGATCTATTATATTAAATAATTATCATATTCATAAAGGGATAGAAGTACTTTACAGTGATGACACATGCAATTTAGAAAGAGAATATTGTGGTTATTTGAATAAGAATGTCCTCCCCACCAATAGGCTTATATTTGAATATGTAGTCATCAGGGAATAGAACTCATTGAGTAGATTAAAAGAATTAGGAGATGTGGCTTTGTCGGAGGAATTGTGTCACTAAGGGTGGGCATTGGTGTTTCAAAAGCCCATGCTAGGCCTGGACTCACTCTCGCTCATTTTCTGCCTGTGGATCAACATGCAGCTCTCAACTACTTCTCTAACATAACATGTGCCAGTCCTACTGTTTGTATTCAGGCATCTGTACTGGCCTATATTTATGGTTTTGACACCCTCAACTACAGCCACTAAGATCACCATGTGTGCATATTCATTATGTTCCTTTTTAAAAGGGACTTGCTCACCTCCCATCCCTTTCTTCCATTCTCTCCCTCTGTCTTCTCCTCCTATTTTTTCTCTTTCCCCCCTTTCCTCTTTCCTGCTGCTCTCATTCCCAGAGGGTGGTCTCCCTCCTCCCCTTTTCCTGATCCCTTTCCCTTAAGAAAAAAAAAAAACTCTGCCTGAACCCTGTCTCATGGCATCTTTCCCTTGTATATTACAACACCTATTGTCATACTTCCTACCATGATGAAAATGGACTAAAACTCTGATACTGTGAACAAGTCCAAAATTAATTCTATGGCTTCTTCATTTTGATCTTGGCCCCAAGAAAGTAATATATTTCTTGTTGTAACTCAGCTATGGCCCTTATTATACACACTGAAAGGCTTATATTTGTATTAATTATATTAAATATAATTCTGTCTGATTATTTCTAGTATTTATACTCTATTTCAATTAATTTGGGGTGATATAACTTTTAGTCTTCATATTTTAAAGAAATATTTTAAAGAAATAGTATAATAAAATGCATTATAAATAATATAAATAGTTAATTAATAATTCATAATATATTATAAATTATATAAATGTAAATAACATCATTTGTTGTTTACTATATTGATAACATTTTTATGATTACAATACATATTATTTTATGTGTATATGTGTGGATAAGGGCATGGATGTGAAGTATATATGTGCAGTACTAGAAATTACAAAAACAATAGCATCATACCACCTGTAACTGTAGTTTCAGACAGATGTGAGACCAGAATGTTGGTCTAGAAACAGATTAATGCAAAATCTAAGACTTCTACTGAAAATACTTGCCTTGATCTTGGTTATAAAGTAATACGGTCCTTGAGAGCTTGTTTGGAGGTTCTAGCAGGGGAGTGCAGCTACTCATATACCCTTGACCGAAAACCGGTCCTCCTCTATTTGGGGAAGGTCGTCCTCTTCGACCGAGCGCACAGCTTCGAGAGGGATGCACATGGAGCGGTGAGGGAGGAAGGGGACACCCGCCTAGCCAGCCAGATCAGCTGAATCAACCCTGGCGATCAATGGGGTGACAGATGTCGCAGCCAAAAAAAAAAATAATAATAAAAAATAAAGTAATACGGTTTCACCAATAGTTTTATTCTAGTAATGATATATTTGACTATTTTTACCATGACATTTTATGAATGATTGCTGAATTTTATAATTTTTTCTTAATAATTGAAGATAATAATATTGTTTTCATCTATAATTATTATGTAATGAGGCATGTTAATGAGTAGTGCATTATTGATAACTAAATTTTCTAATATTGCTGCATTTTTGCAGTATGTGAACCAAGTCACAATAGTAATAACAAACTATCATGTTTTGTTATTTTTATTGTTTTCTTATTATTTCAAGATTTTTTTTTCATCTGTGTGAAATAGGATTCAAAGTTTCCTTGTCATATTTTGTTTATCATAATAGTGTCAGAATAAAAATTAGGGAACAATTTAAGTAATGCAGAAGTTTTCTTAGAAGATAGATAATACTCTTGGGCATAGTAGACCTTACTTTTGTAAAAGGAAAATGAGCTCTCAAAGGATGAAACAGCACGATATGAAATGGAAATGAATTTTGTTTTGTATCTCACTGAACAGAACTTTATTACAGTGAAAAGTACACAGCTTTAAACCATATCAGAAAAAGTGACTGACTAGAGCTCCGTGAAATCTAATGCAGAAAAAGATGAATGTTCTTAAGAAAACAAAATGTCATGTGTTATTCCCAGTCAGGTCTACAAATCCAAGACACTACTGGAAGATTTCAAATTTAAAATATCCAAGGAAAGGTAAATAAAAAGAATGGGGAAACCTTTTTCAACATAATGTTCCACCAACTGATTACAGACTATATGAAAGTATTTGAGAGCAGTAAATATGAATATTGGTTTAAAATGATATTAATAAATCATTAGGTGAGTTTCAAGGCAGTGGATTTATTTAAGGTGAGAATTATGTGGCAATGCATTTTAAGGGAGAAAATGTAGGAACAGAAAGATGGTTGCAAAAATAAGAAATTATTAAAGGATAGTGAAAGAGGACAGTGATATATCAAGTTCAGACTAGGTTAGAACTGACTTGAGAATATCTCCTGGATACTATTATCCAAATCTAGAAGATGAAGGTTGACATATTTTGTCTGAAGACTAAATACTTTGACATGCTCAATTTTTAAGGACTTTTTCAAAGTTTTACCATTATGTGGGGCAAATGAAGATGTAGTTTGAAGAATATATTACAAAACAAAATATTTGCATGAGGAAATAAAAAAAGAAAACAAACTGAAAGAATCCATCCAACTGAAATGTATCAGTACTCTACATATGCTACTAGAAAATGAATGGACTTAAGAAAGCAGTTTAAAATTTTCCACTGAAGGAAATAGATCTAAATCATATTCTACCTTTTCAGAGAAAAGAAAGAACAAAAAAAGCAACTAAATTTTCTTACATTTTTTTGAGAATCAAAAGAAGGTAAAAAACATTAAGTTTAGGGGCATATGAGACAGTTACAGATCAGTAAGTTCTCCTGAGAGATATGATTCAGAAATCTAAACATTGCCTTCACTTCAGAAATTTATTGATGGTGATATTCCAGTAGAAGAAAATTTTGCAATGAAAATGAATCCTTCTTAAAAAAAATTCACAAAACTAGGCTTATTTTTTTTTATTTTAAAAAGCAGAAGCCACTGTGATATAATGCTGAAAATGCTTATTCTTGTATTATATTGAAAGCTTTTCATTAGGGTTTGACTATATTCAGTGTAGCTTTAGGTTTTTATAAACATAAAAGACAAAACATAAAATGGAATGCATTTAAGGTGAAATTTAAAAAAATGAATAGAGGCTTAAAAGAAAATTACCTGGGTTATCACAACATCCAATAGATAGCATTTGCCTGAGATTATAAATGTCTCAAATGATACTTCCTGAGCTATTAAAGAACACATAGATATGCATTATTTCCAGTTAAATTCTGCATAGTTTCCAAACTAACCTCTATAGGAGTATTTTTCCATTGTTTTGAAGTTCACAAGTCATGGACTTTGATAAATTGGCATAGACTTGTTGGTATTTTCAAGAAACTTCAAAAATTATTTTTCTCTGTTATTGTTCCTAGTCAGTAGACATTCTTAGTAAAAAAAAAAAAAAAAAAAAAAAAAAAAAAAAACAACAGTAGATTATAGACTTACAGTTAAAATTAGTAGGCCTCAGAGGAAGAACTTTAATTCCCTTCAGAGAACTTCATGTGATTTCATTAGAAATTATGTCTATCCAAATGTGAGCAATATATTAAAAGCCTGTCTCTTTCCTAATTGCCCCCACCTCAAGCTATCAACTGTCAAAAGATCCTTAAATAGATATGACATTTCATATACACTATTCCTTTTTCTGTTGTGATTTTGTCTGGCTTAAGCCTGGACAGATCTTGTGCACATTGTCTTATTTGTTAAGAATTCATGATTTCAGGTGTCATGTTTCCAGAGAAAATGTTTTCTTGTATTTGTTAACTTCATTTGGCCCTTACACATTTTCTGTTCCTTTTGCAATGACCCCATGAGCATTGTGAAGATTGTGACATAAATGTCTCATTTAGAGCTAATTATTCTGCAGTCTCTAATGCTCCACACTATATGATCAGTTGTGGGTCTCTGTGTTAATCACCATCTACTATGAATGGAAGCTTCTCTGAGGATGTTTGAGAAATTTATTAATATCTATGGGTATAATGATATGTAATTAGAGGTCAGTCTAATGTTATATCTACTTAGCAGATTAATTGTAGTAGCTCCTCTCCTAAGGCTCATGACTGGTTTAGCCATAGGTTGTTGGCTCCTATAACAATTTCAGTCACAGGTTTTACCTTGTAGAGCAGGACTTAAATAGAGTCATAAAGTAGATAGTTACTCTCATAATATTCATGCCCCGATTGCAACATTGGGCACACACTGACACAGCATTGATCATTTTAGTTGTCAGAGTTCATAGGTGTTTAAGGCTGATAATAACTTTATTTCTTCCAGTATTGTGGAATAATACCTTCTAGCACTATGAAATTTAAGCATTTTGAGTAGGGTTTAGGCCCTCCCTATTGTCTCTAGGTTAAGGTAGTAGGCCTTCATAGGGAATGTGCTCCCAAAGTCCTTTCTTGAACCTAGTTCCACTCTCAGAGGTCCTGTAGACTGCCCAGGTAGGCATGGGAGGATGGGAGGGAGAGGGAACTGAGATCAATATGTAAAAAAGAAAAACAAAAACTACATGATAAAAAACAACAAAGAAATTAAGCAATAGAGGTGAAGCTCACATGTCAATCCAAGTTTAATTTCTACATGTTCTATATCTCAAACACATACTTACTTAAATAGTAGAGTGTAACAATCTAATTTTGGAGGGGTACCAAAAACATTGGTAATAATCTACAATGTATATGGATATGTGGTACATCACCGGACCATGAGCCCAAAAGACATAATTCATCCCTGATTATGAATTTCCATGTGTCAGCTTGGGGTGGCTAGTAGAGGCATTATTACCTTGTTTATATATTCTTTTACAGTAGTAGGTAGTTTTTTATATGGCTTTTTGAAGGGGCTTTAGTTCTTATTTATTCCTCCTTACATTCCCTCCTCTCTCATGCAACCTATCCTCACCCCTTTGATACTATTCTTCTCTCATCCATTAATTCTTGTTAAGCCTTTATACCACCTCCTCCTGGCTTCTATGGATATTTCAAATCAAAAACAAATGTTTAAAGATTTAAAACTAACATCCACAGATGAGAGAAAACTTACTAGGTTTGTCTATTTATGGATCTGGGTTAGATAAAGATCAATATATTGAGGTACCATTCAAGTATAGAAAACTGCTAATGATAACATTCTCCATTAAAAACAAATAGATTGTTCCAGGTTTCATCTATTACAAGTAATGCTGCTGTCAACATAGTTGAATAAATGTCCTTGTGGTATGATTGAGCATCCTTTGGGCATATGCCCAAGATTGCTGTAGCTTGGTCTTGAGGAAGATTTTTTTTCCAATTTTATGAGAAAACACCATACTTATTTCCAAAGCAGCTGTACAAGTTTTCATTCCTACCAGCACTGGAGTGTACCCCTTACTTTGCATCCTCTTCAACTTAAGCTATCATCAGTGTTTTCGATCTTAGCCATTCTGATCAGTGTAAGATGGAACATCAGAGTCATTTTGATTTGCATTTCCCAGTTTCTCCTACAATTATTGATCATTTGAGGGTCTTCTCTTGAGAATTATCTATTTAAGTCTATAGCCTGATTTTTAATTGGATTATTTTGTATTTATTTATTTATTTATTTTATATAACCAAGTCCATTTAAATGAACACAAATATTTATAGACAATATTTGGGAATTTGGGCATCGTTCTTTCCAAACTACTTCCTGCTGATGGGGGCACTGTCATGGGGGATTTTAAGAAAATGCAGAATTCCTGCCTAAAGTCTATAAGGCTACTTTGTCCAGCTGTTTTGAATGTAGGATCACCTGGTACTCTGTTTCAGTGGGTATGGTTTGCTCAAACCACATTAGTCTGGAAGGAATCCATAGCTTTTTATTTTCTGTGGAAACAAAAATAGGAATCCATTTCCCCAGTAACTTGTCCTTGAACTAAAATTTTGGAGTCAAAGCATTTTTTTTTTATTTATTATTTTACATGTCGATCCCAGTTCCCTCTGCCTCCCTCCCTCCTTCGCTCCTTCCCTTTTACCCTCTCTGCCCTCTCACATGCACCCTAACCACCCTTCCCTCCCATCCCCCCACCCCATTTCCATATGTAGGGGAATACCATCCTGTTGGGGTCATGCAGATCTCACAGGTCATGTGAAGAAGGGACTAGGGCTTCTATCCTGTCTCTAGTATAAGGCAGTTATCCCTCCATGGGGGATGTGTTAGCAACCTCCTTTTCAGCACCAGGGATA